TTTAAATTTAATGTTTATATAATATTTAATTATTCAGATATTTTACCACATTTATGTTTTTTATTCACCATCATAATTATGTGGTAATACCCTAACAAGTATCTTCATAAACAAAATTTTCTGTGGATGTCAATGATTTTCTTCACAAAGTTTCCTTAAAAAATAATCCAAATCCCGCTCGCCTGTTCCTCTCTGGAAAGAAAGATGGCGGCCACACGGGAGCCTGGTGGACAGCAGGTTTGAGCCGGGGGCGGGGGGCAGCAGGGGCCTCATGGGAAGGGGGGCGTTCTGGGCCGTCCTTCACGCCCGACCGAGGTCACCAGCTGCCCCCCACGAGCGGCTCTCCGGCACGGCCACGACTCCAGAGCACAGAAACCAATCTCTTAACTATCTAACTTTTAATAGAAATACTTCCAGGGTTAATAAGTGAAACAGCAGAAATCCAAAACCAACATTTAATTCTTGAACCCAGCCGTAGAAAGCAAATCATTTCACAACACTGTTTCAGCATATCTGATTGGGGGGGGGGGTCGTTAACTCTAAACAATAATTGTGCATCTTCTATCGAAACAATTTATCTAGTCAAAGTAGATAGAGTATTAACTAGAACTCATCTGCCTCACAGGAATTGGGAGGGGTGGGTGGTGGGGTTCTATTGGGGTTCACGGTTAAAAATAAGTATTGGTAAAGGGAAATGTGTTTGATACTTACATGACTGAGACCTAAACCCGAAAGCTCTGTAACTTTTCCCACAGTGATTCAAAAAAGAAATAAACTATTAAAAAAAATAATCCAAATCTTGTATCAGTTGGGAAGACTTTCAGTTTCAAATGACCATAGCCCTTGATTATAAAAAAGGCTTACAAGAAAACTGTTTTATTAAAGAACCCTTCAGTTAATTCAGATTACATCATTTGCTGACACAGGGATATAAGCAATAACCTTCATGATCTCTTTCAGTTTTATCATCTTCAGTATCTGGGTTTTGGTTTTAAGATTATCTCCTTACTGTAACAAAATGGCTAGTAGTTCCAGTGGTCATGTCATAACTAAACACTACCAAAAGTAGAGAGAAATTCTTTTGTCAATTTTTCATCACCCAATGAATATTTCTTAGAATCCCCCAATGTATCTTTCCTTACATCTCATTATCTAGATTTGAGTCCATCTCTGGTATTATAATGATTGGCTTAGACTCTTGTAAATTATACCCAGTGATTGATGAAGAGTCTATTTAAATTAGTACCAGAGCTTTTGATGGCAAGAAGTGGGAATAGCAGCTGGGTCTCCAATAAAAAAGAGGCTGTTATAAATGTTTTATGATGTTCTTGAGATCTTTATTTTGAAACAACTTTTAGTCAACTGGAGAATGTTTCCAAGGAAATTTTTAAAGAAAAGGAAACTAAGTGTGTGTGTGTGTGTGTGTGTGTGTGTGTGTGTGTGTGTGTGTGTGCTTAGAAGGCATGCTGGGGTCATTCCTAGCAGTGCTCTGGGAACCATGTGTGGCAGGGGATGAGACCCAGGTCTCTGGCATACAGAGCACGCAGCCAGTCTTTGAGCTATCTCCCTGAACTCAGAGAGAGATAATTTTACCAACACCTTCATGTTTCACACCTGAGAAGCTGTGCAACGAAATATAAAATTCTCAGGTCAAGATTTTTTGCCTTGAAATAAATGGATATTGCTTTGTTTACTACTGAAAATTAATGGAGAAAATTAAAATATACAGTCAATCAAAATTCTGAGATCATTTTTGTTTATTTTTAAGTAATTATAAGAAGTTTTTCCATTTGCGTATATTTTGAGAAAACCTGCGCTCTCTCTAGAGCTTCTTGTAGTTAGTTGATGTTTTGTAAAATACAACTATAATTTTTCTTTTTTTTCGCTTTTTGGGTCACACCCAGCGATGCTCAGGGGTTAGTCCTGGCTTTGCATTCAGGAATTACTCCTGACGGTGCTTGGGGGACCATATGGGATGCTGGGGATAGAACCCGGGTTAGCTGCGTGCAAGGTAAACGCCCTACCCCCTGTGCTGTCGCTCTGGCCCCTACCATTATAATTTTTATCTGTTTTTATCAGGCTTTTAAAAAGCTAAGAAATATATTTTTTTCCAAATGTTAATTTGGTTCTCTTAAAAATTATTATGTTTCCTTTCTCATAAACATTATGTTATTCTTTGGTTTGATCTTTATTTTCTATTCTCATCTTTTCATTTCTCATTATTTCTTATTGTCTCAGCAGTTCTTAGTCTTAAGCTTTATGTCTTCCTTTGTATTTATATTTCTCATATATTTTTCTCTTACATCCTTTGCTGCAAACAGGGAAATTCAATGACCATTTCCTTCCTTCCTCCATCCCCTCCGTTCCTTCCTCTACCTCTTTTCTTCCCCCTCCCTCTCTTTCCCCTTCTCCCTCCTTCCCTCCCTCCCTTCCTTCCTTCTTTCCATTGATTGTCGGGGTTGGCGATACAGTACAGCAGCCAGGTGTCAATTCCTAGCACCCCATATGATCCGTCAAGTCCTGTCAGAAGTTATCCCTGAGTGCAGACTAGGTAAACCCTGAACATCACCAGTGTGTCCCCCAAACAAAACAAAAGTTCCTGGATTATTGTCAAGTACCTTTTTCAGGTGCTGGAGATCTATCACTGAAATTTGATTCTAGAGGACAAAAGAAATATCAGTCTGTAAGAATAATGTCAGATAATAAGTGAAAGAGAAAAAATGAACTTATTTTAGAATCTGGAGTAATTAGTGCGCAATGCTGTTTTAGATAGAATGTCAGAGAAATCCCATCTGAGAGGGGAAGCTTATGCAGAAAGCTAAAGTTTTAAAACATGAACAAAAGAAACAGCAAAATATGAACCCACTGAAAAGCCTGCATATTTGGGCGCATGGGCCAGGAAAGTGGCGAGGGCGAGGCCTGAGATACTCCACACGTCTACCCGTGACGTATTCGATATGCCAAAAACAGTAACAAGAAGTCTCACAATGGAGACATTACTGGTGCCCGCTCTAACAAACTGATGAGCAACGGGAGGACAGGGCAGTGCTACAGTTCTTTTTCATACATACATCATTCCAGCACCACACTCGAAGCTAGAGTGCTGGCTTCCCTTCACCAATGTCCTAAGGACCCCTCCCAGACACATCCCACCCCAAGTAAGCTCCATTCTGTAGCCAGTATCTCCAGTTCCAATGATTTTGGCTAGGTTGTTGTTCATTTGCTCTTTATTTTTCCCTCACATAACAGAGATTTTCTTTTAATTGTGGAGGTGGTGACTTGTGCACACATACAGGTGAGTAAAATTAAACTTCTGAAACACCACAAACCCTGATAAGTCAATAAAATTTTTTCAAAAAATATAAATATCTTCCTTTTTCTACAGGTGTATAAAAACTTAATAGTGAATAATTCTGTGCTAATTACTGCATTTTAAAATTTACATAGAATAGACAAATCCTACAAATATGTAATTTAGAGTGAGAAAAAAGAGAATTAAAATACATAAAAAGGAAATATAATAGGTAGGCCTATAAAACTATAAAAGTGCATTTTATCCTAAAAAGGGAATGTGGTTTTATGTTAGAAAATATTATATTAATATAACACAGATGGTTAAGCTTTCTATTTATTTGATGCTTAAGTATCTATTAATAAGTAAAAGATTATAGTAAATTTCTGCAGATATTTAAAAAATCACCTGAACAGACATAAGCATTAATGTAAATGAAATGTTAACCATTATTGAAAAAGTTAAAAAATTCTGATCAAGTTAGAAATAAACAGACTTTCTTAATCTAGTAGAGGGCAACCATAAACATCATGAGTGAATGCCATTATTTAGTGGCAAAGCGCTGAGAATTTATCATGTCTTCTGGAGAAGCTCTTTTAATGCTTCTTGAAAAACTGGTTCCAAGGCTATGCATTTCCTAAACTATAGCCTGTCAATAAAGTTTTATATCATTCCAGAAGCTTGAGTGATCATGTAGCTGGATAGAGTATTTATGGTGAAGTGTTCATTTCATTGCGTTTTTAGAAAACCATATCCCACTACTATCTTCTGGCTTGTAGGGTCTCATTTGATATATCTGCTGGAAATCGTACAGGCTTTTTGTTGCAGGTAAGTTCCTATATCGATCTTGCTACTTTCAATATTTTAGTATTCTGCTTTTTGACTTTTGTCATTCTGATTATAATGTGTCTTGGAATTTTTCCTATTAGAGTCTATTTTTTCTGGGACCCTTTAGGCCTCTTGAATTTCAGTGCCTGTATTCCTCTGGGAAATTCTTATCTGTGGTTTCGTTAATTAGAGGTTCTTCACTGAACTCACCTTTCTGTTCTTTAGGGACATTGATGACTTAAGTCCATCTCATAGTTCTTTTATTTACTTTTTGTTGTTGTTGTTAGCTGTTGCTACTGGGGTGAGAACCACGCGTGGGTTGTAGGTATGGGGGTGTGGGTATGGAGGGTGATATAGGCAGTACTCATGGGAGCTTATGGAATAACATTTATTTTATCTAACTTTTAATTGATGTATTTTCTTTTTGGGTCACACCCGGTGATGCTCAAGGGTTACTCCTGGTTCTGCTCAGGAATTACTCCTGTCAATTTTGGGGCACCATGTTGGATGCCAAGGAATGAACCTGGATCAGCCTTGTGCAAGGCAAATGCCCTACACACTGTGCTATCACTCTGGCCCCGGGAATAACATTTAGTGCTGAGGATTGAACCCAGAATCTCACTCATGATATTATCTGCCACTTGAGTGACATCTCTGCCCCCACCCCCAAATTCCTGATTTAAAAAAAAATGCCATCTCTCTTTCCTATAGAATCGTTTAAGTAATGTTTTCAATTTCATTTATCATATTTTTTAGTTTTATAATTTACATTTGGTTCTACGTGGTGTTTACTATTTCCTTGAGTTATTTAATTATTTTTGTTTTAGGATAATTTATTATTGCTTGTGGAACATTTTCTGATACTTTAAAATCCTTGTCTCATCTCTGTGCTTGAGAGAGGGGAATCTGGTCGGTGGTACCTCTCTTGTAGCCAGGGACAAAGCAATTTCTTTCTTTTTCCTTTCATCTGTGTCCTTGCCTGGTTCATATCCTATGAATAGTATCCCCAGTACTTGCCACCCCAATGTTAATCAGTGGTGGAAGAACCAAGTCCTACTTTTTAATGGAAACAACTTGACCACAACTCTGTCACAGAATTTTGAGAGCCATTAAAAATATAGTTTAATGAGAAGAAAAAAAAATCCCTTGTTAGATAATTCCCATCTGTGAAAACTCCGTGTTAATGACATTTGTTTGCCTTTTATTCAGGCTGAGATTTTCATTGTTTTTGCATTGAGCAGTTTTATATTGTATTCTGAATATTGTGAGTACAAACTCATGTGACTCTGGTTCTTATTTTGGTCTTTATTTCAGTCTTTTAGCAAGAGGGAAAGGTGTTTTTGTTAAGAATGCAGTACTGGCCCAATTTTGTAGGCTGTTATTCATACGTCGGTTTAATTTTCAGAATCTCAGTAGTGTTCTGGTGTGCCCGGGCCACTTGTGTGCCCCAAGAGACACATCTGGATTCTGGGCGGTGTTGCAGAAAGGGATCCCATTGTCAAATCTTTTGCTCTGTTTTTCTCTAGGTAACATGCAGAAACTGTTCAAAGATCTTCCCAGAATATTTTTTGGCTCCTTTCTTTCCTTAGAGAGGGAAGGGACACTATTTCAGTTTGTTTGCTTGTTTGTTTGTTTTTGTTTGGGGGTCACATACAGATTGTGCTCAGGGAACACTGGTGATGCTCAGGAGTGATCCCCGAACACAAGCCGGATGTGACCCCCAAACAAAAACAAAAACAAGGCTGTCATTTTCTGTCTGGTCCTTTAGCTAAGGAACCTGGATATTCCTCGGGACTTTTTTCATTTATTGGTACTTCATGGTTTATTCTCTCCAGAGTCTAGACTCAGGAGGTAAAAATTAATTAATGAATTAATAAAACACCTAATACAATCAGCCAGTCTGTCCTTCAAGTCCTTGAGATCCCCAGCCAAATGACTATCTTTCCTCCTATTTTCTTTTTTTCCCTTATTTTGTAACTTTTATCTAGATTTTGTAAAGATTAGGAAGAATAGAGTGAAAATGGATTCTTTTCATTTGAGCAATTAAACAAATAATTTGTGTCACTTTCTTGGTCTGGGGAATACTGAGGATGGGGTGGTTTGGGAGTGGATATGTGACAACCAAGAATTTAATTTTAGATCTGTTAAGCTAAAGATACCTACAAGGTACCCAAGTGGAAATTTTGAGTTGGAAGCTAGCAATTCAAATAAGAGTTTGCAGATTTCAAGTTGGTTACATAGGTATTTCTTCACTACCAGACAGGAGATAGTGTTTAAAACAGTATTATCAGACCACATTAAGAGTAAGTATAAACAGAAACAAGAAAAGGTTGTACTAAAACTTGGAGTTCACTACATTGACATTTCAATGAAAGTTGTTCTACAATATTGTCTCCGCATCATTTCATTGTTATCACATATTTTCTTTTTTTTTTCTCCAGGCACTTGGGTAAACTTTCTTAGTTTTAATGGCAGATTTCTCTCCACAAGTTATGTCCTAACATGCTACCCCACTACCCCATTCCTTAAATACTAGCACATTATCTCCTATGGACTGTGTAAAGGCCAGTATCCAGTGGGGCTTGTAAAATGACTGATTCCATGTCTGGGTTAGGAAGTATATATTTCATATATATGTATATATATATTACAGGAATATGTCTCATGCCAATAAAGTGGGAAACAACTGAAGACTATCAAGGTCATATCAAGAGGCCACAGCATTCAGCTGGAAAGAGCTCTCACTAGTCAGATTTAGAAGAAGGTAAGAGCATTAATCAGATATATTAAAATCCATGTTGATGATAATACCAAAAAAAATTGGTCACCTTCAAGGATGCTGGGAAATCAATTTATCATTGGGAAAACTAGTATATAAAAGAGGTGAGCATTTATTCTTTCATGTAAAAATAATACCTCCAGACACCCAAAGAATTCATATAAAAATTCCAGCTGATAAATGCAGAAGAAATAATACTATATAATCTCTTTAAAATCATATTTAAACACTTATTAAGCATTGATAGTTAATGACTGATAAAATATCACCTGATACTGCAGATTAATTTAATATCATAAAGAGAGAAAGCCAGCTATTATGTTGCTTATGGTGGGCAAGTGTCTATTGGATATTTTAAATGTGACTAATGGAATTAGGTTGTAATCTAAGCATTAAAAAATAGATTTTAAAGATCATTGTGAAAAGTAAAATATCTTAATAATTACAAATATTGATTAAATGTTGAAATGTTAAATTTTTGGTGTATTTTATAAATAAACATACTACTAAAATATACTTTATCTTTCTCACTTTGATTTTTTAAAAGGAATATAGCTCTTAGATATGACATATGTGGCTAACACTATATTTCTCACATGTTTACAACTGAAACTTGAGTATTAAATATTGTGTTTGGCACATTGTAGAATCCAAGAGAATTTTAATTGTATAAATGTATTTTAGTTGTATGAATGAGTGAAGTTTTTTGTTTGTTTGCTTTGGGGCCAAACCCTGTAATTCTCAGGGACTACTCCTGACTCTGCTCTCAGGAGTTACTCCTGGCAGTTCTCAGGGGACTGTAAGGGATGCTGGAGAGCAAACCCGGTGGGTTGCTGCAAGGCAAGTGCCCTCCCCACTGTACTCAGGACTTGTGATCCAGTGAAGCTTTAAATGACTAAAAGTATTGGCCTGTTATTTTTGTTTGTTTGTTTGTTTTATTTTTCAATTTTTATTAGTGAAACACCATGAGGTACAGTTGTAGACTTACAAATTTTTGTGCTGAGGTTTCAATTATACAATGATCAAATACCCATCCCTCCACCAGTGCCCATTTTCCACCACCATGGGTCCCAGTGTACCTCCCACCCTCAATCCACCTCATCTCACCCTGTCTCTGTGGCAGGGCATTCCCTTTTGTTCTCTCTCTCCTTTTGGGTATTGTGGTTTGCAAAAGAGGCATTGAGTGGCAATCACGTTTGGTTTAGAGTCTACTTTCAGCATGCTTCTCCCATCCTGGGAGGATCCTCCCAACACCCTTTATTTGGTGCTCCCTTCTCTATCTGAGCTGCCTTTTCCCCTAGCATGTGTGGCTGGCGTCCAAGCCATGGAGCAAATCTCCTGGTACTAATCTCAGTCACTCTTGGGTGTTTGTCTTTTATTTTGTTACTTTATGTTCCCCAGATGAATGCAATCTTTCTATGTCTATCCCGTTTTTTCTGACTCATTTGGCTTAAGATGATACTTTCCATGTAGTACCACTTGTATGTAAATTTCATGACTTCATCTTTTCTAGCAGCTACATAGTACTGCATTGTGTAGATGTACCAAAGTTTCTTTAACCAGTCATCTGTTCTCGGGCACTCAGGTTTTTTCCAGATTCTGGCTATTGTAAAGATTGCTGCAATGAACCAACAAGTGCAGATGTCACTTCAACTATACTTTTTTGCCTCTCTGGGATATATTCCCAGGAGTGGTATTGCTGGGTCAAATGGGAGCTCAATTTCTAATTTTTTGAGAATTGTCCATCTGGTTTTCCACAAGGGCTGAGCCAGTCGGTATTCCCACCAGCGGTGAAGGAGGGTCCCTTTCTCGCCACATCCACGCCAGCACCAGTTGCTTTTGTTCTTTTGGATGTGGGCCAGTCTCTGTGGTGTGAGATGATATCTCATTGTTGTTTTGATCTGCATCTCCCTGATGATTAATGATGTAGAGCATTTTCTTGTGTGCCTTTTAGCCATTCAGATTTCTTCTTTGAGAAAGTTTCTGTTCATTTCGTTACCCCATTTTTTGATGGGCTTGGATGTTTTCTTCTTGTGGAGTTCAACCAGTACCTTGTATATCCTTGATATCAATCCCTTGTCAGATGTGTATTGGGCTAATATCCTTTCCCATTCTGTAGACTGTTTCTGTATTTTGGTCACTGTTTCTTTTTAGGTGCAGAGGATTCTTAGTTTAAGATAGTCCCATTTGTCTATCTCTGTTTTCACTTGCTTGGCCAGTGGCATGGCATCTTTGAAGATACCATTAGCTTCAATATCATGGAGGGTTTTGCCAACTTTGTCTTCAATGAACCTTATGGATTCAATCTGATGTTGAGGTCTTTAATCCATTTTGATCTTACTTTTGTACCTGGTGTTAGGCAGAGATCTGAGCCTACTTTTTTGCATGTAGCCGTCCAGTTTTGCCAGCACAATTTGTTAAAGAGATTTACCTTGCTCCACTTCACTTTTCTTGCCCCTTTATTGATGATTAGATGATCATATGCTTGGGGGGATATGTCAGCATATTCAACCCTTTTCCATTGGTCTACAGCTCTGCCTTTGTTCCAGTTCCATGCTGTTTTAATTATTACTGCTTTGTAGTAGAGTATGAAGTTAGGGAGGTTGATTCCTCCCATTTTCTTTTTCCTAAGAACTGCTTTAGCTATTCGTGGGGGCTTATTGTTTCATATAAATTTCAGGACTGTTTGCTTCATTTCTTTGAAGAATGTCATGAGTATCGTACTAGAGATCACATTGAATTTGTACAGTACTTTGGGAAGTATTGCCATTTTGGCAAAGTTAATTCTCCCGATCCATGAACAGGGGATATTTTTCCATTTCTTCATGTCCTCTTTTATTTCCTGAAGTAGCGTTTGGTAGTTTTCTTTGTACAGGCCCTTTACTTCCTTAGTTAAGCTGATTCTTGGTACTTGATTTTCTGGGGCACAATTGTGAACGGGATTGTTTTCTTCATGCCACTTTCTTCTCTTCACTATTTGCATATAGAAAAGCCATAGACTTTTGGGTATTGATTTTATAGCCTGCAACTTTACTATACAGGTCTATTGTTTCTAGGAGTTTCTTGGTAGAGGTTTTAGGGTTCTCTAAGTATAGTATCATATCATCTGCAAATAGTGAGAGCTTGATATCTTCCTTTCCTACCTGGATGCCCTTAATATCTTTTTCTTGCCTAATCACTGTTGCAAGTACATCCAGTACTATATTGAACAGTAGTGGAGAGAG